TACGCATCATCTTCTGGAACACAAACAGAGAGTTGCAGTGATCACTAGTAGATAGTTGTGAAACATTTTCTCCAACGTTGTGAATGGTATAGTTGGTTCCCCCGGGCATGGAAGGAAGGGGCTTGGAAATGGAACATTTACCACGGAAATCCTTCTTCAATTTTGTGTGCAGGCATTCAGAATCATTATCACTAATTTTGATGTATCTTGTACAGACGAAATTAGACACTGGGAAGCAACATGGAGTATGATACTTATTTTAATCAATCCATGCAACAGCACAGCCATATGCATCTCCCCTCACTTATCTCCTCTACTCTCTCCTCCTCTTTCTTATTATAGTTTGTGTGACATCATTATGTTTACGGTAAACAGAACAAAATCAGATTTCAAAACATATGCAATCAGTGACAAGTCCAAGATATCATTCCACATCCTTAATTATTTATCCATGACCTCTGTCTGTCTGAGGAACGCAGGAGTGATTTAGTTAGTTTTATGTCAGTCACTGCAACACCGTATCAGTAGCTGATCATATGGGAACTCTATCCTGGAGTGACAACTTCTGAAGCCTGAATATGATCTCTATTGGTATCTGCAGCTTAATGCCACCCCTACAGGTGCATGACTCTAGGGTTGCTCTAGGGCAGTGGTTTCCAATTCCGGGGCTTCATTTATAAAATTATGCATATAAACCGTCCTAAATTTGTTCTAAAATCATTTCTTAAAAGTGCATAAGTGAGATTCAGAGAAATCGAATGTGCGCACAAAAAAACGTGCGTACGCATCTCTTCCAGATGTGACATTTATAAATCGCAAATTATCTTAAAATTGGGCGCAGCTGACTGGTGTCAGATCTCCGCCTTGTAAACACCCCCTAATTAATATCATTACCATATAAAAGAGCACACGCCAATATCCAAATGTCCATGCTTGAGAATGACGAGCACAAAGAAAAAAAAAACTTTACTGAGTCTGAAATTGAGGTCCTGCTGGCGGTTGTAGAGGTTCGTGCGGGGACGCTTTTAATTTAATGATCTGTAATTATTCTGTGGACAAACAATGTGTGTGGTTATATTTTTTTCTATCGACTATTATCAAAATTACTACTTCTAGAAACAACAGAAATAATAATAATAATAATAATAGTAGTAGTAATTATAAAACAGTTAGGTTTCCAAAAGTAAGAATGAACTATGAATTCAAGTAAAATTTTCAGTCATCTTATAAAAAGTGAGCCATCCTACTTTTAAAATCACTTGCTATGACAACTAATAAAAAGTTTAGTATCACAAAATTCTTGCAAAACTTTAAAAAACATTATTGAAAGAAAAATTGGACTTTTCATATCATAATAACATGAATTATTACACGATTATGGTCTCCGGTCTGAAAAAAAAAACCTGCATGTGATTTGGCATTTCTTTATATTTACAGAGTTTACTAATGCTGCTCAAATGTGCCATTAATGTACTGACACAAAAATATATAGTGTATTTTATACAAATATAACTGATGTAAATGACAAAAACAAAGTTTAAGGCTGATGTCTCTATTCATTTTCACAGAAGCAAAGCAGCAGATGTTATAAATAAAAACAGTTAACAATGTTATTGAATAGAATATATTAAAACTGTTATTGCACGACATAGGTCTGTTCTTAGGCTACACAGACAAGTCGGAGATACGTTTATGCATTTATTTTTCTATTTTAGTAAATCAAGACTTCGCAAGTTCTCTTGTAAAATAAAATTTAAAAAAAACATGGAATAAACTGTGTACAGAAAGCGAGTAAAGAACTCTCAACATTAGGCTACTAGGGTCAGTTTAATCTTGCAAAAACGCCCGTTAACAAAAAATCTGACTACACTGCACAATTAATCTCTTACACTGCATCTTTGTTGTTTATGATGAATTCGGTGCTTGCACGTACACCGCATTTATTATTATTGCAGCTTAGATGTTCAAATAGCTGCAGTACTCCAACTTTGCCACAAATAAAAAGTGTGTACACCTGCTCAGACCCTGACGTGGCAGTAAGTACTTTTCCACGTCAAAGACCATTTTTATAAATATGAACGTTTCTGTGGATTTTAGCGTACGCACACTCTAAGATCAAATCTGTGCGTACGCACATTTTATAAAGGAGGCCCCAGGTCTTGGAGTACCACCCAACTCTGCACGTTTTTTTTTATGCCTCCCTAATAAAACACATCTGCACCAAGCACTTTACATGAATGGACAATAAGGATTCCATATACCCATAGTAGTGACCAGTGTTGGGGGTAACTCATTACAAGTAACGCGAGTTACGTAATCAGATTACTTTTTTCAAGTAACTAGTAAAGTAACGCATTAACTTTTTAATTTATAAACTAGTAAGTAACGCATTAACTTTTTAATTTATAAGAGAATATCTGAGTTACTTTTTCAAATAAGCAACGCAAGTTACTTTTTTTCCAATTTATTGATTGACAGCTCTCCTGTCCCCATGTTGAGAGAAATCAGAAGTGTGAAAAGGCTTTTATATTTGCCAAAAATAGAACTTTTTTATTTTAAAAACAAACAAGCAAGCCCTGTCCAGATTTAAAAAGTAACGCAAAAGTAACGTAATGCATTACTTTCCATAAAAAGTAACTAAGTAACGTAATTAGTTACTTTTTTATGGAGTAATGCAATATCGTAATGCATTACTTTTAAAAGTAACTTTCCCCAACACTGGTAGTGACATTATTAAATATCAGTGTTTGGCTTTGTTTATAGCATTTCCAGTAACAAGCTATTTAGTCTAACAAGTAGCGGTGTAGTGTGACAAGATGCCTTCACTGTCTTTATGTCACTTGCACACAGTTTTACAACTGAACAAGTTGAGGCAATAATGAAAATCACTCTTTTCAATGTTGTAGTGTTGAAAAGTTCAATTAGTTATTGAATCTGTTCGTAAATTTCAAAAGGTAACAATTTACTTATTCAAGTCTGTGCAGAAAAACGTTCCAGTCCATTACTATATGATTTTATTATATTAAAAGTTATTAAGAAATAAGTTATACATTTGTTATATTTAAGATATAAGTTATTTGTTGTATTTTCTTTTTACTTATATTCCCGCCTTATCTTCAGTGTATAATTAGCAACATTTTTGGCAGTTTGTAGTGTAGCTACAGTACCATTTTAAGTTGAGGGTAGCTTTACTGTAGTTGAATGCAAAACTGTAGCTTGCCAAGCTACAAGCTATGCATAAACAAGGTAGTTTCCCTAACACCGAAGACCTTTTTCTTAACTCTGTCTGTTCTACTCGGGTTAGCATGTCAAAAAAAATACATAATCTATACTTTCCTAAAATCTGTTCTCTTACAGAAGTCAATCATGTTTACTTTTAACACTAACTAAAATGATTGAGACACCCAAACAGATATGTTCGTTTTTAACTTTTATTTTAAAAAATGAGTAAGCACACAATTAATATGTCCTGTGGATACCAAAATCTGTGTAAACAGCACATATAACAATTCCATCATATACCTAGTTGATTGTTGAATGACATATCAAAAGTCCTCAGAGTTTTTCATCAAGAAATAGTACACAAAACAACTAAATAAATGTACAAATACATATCTGAAAAGTTAACAAGCTATTGAAACCCAAACAAGTTTATTTGCACAAACTGATGATGTCACAATGGAACAGTCACAATGGAACAGACCAGACCAGACCAAAAATTGCATGCATGTGCACAGGGCTCACAGTGCATCCTGAGTATGCTATGAACAAAAAGTGCTCTTAACTGTGATAGTACGTTACAGATCCAGCACAGTTTGATCAAAGTACTTATGGCTGTTGAATTGCAAGGGTCATTCGAACACATTTCCACTACTTCCTAATGACTTAACGGCTGTCAATAACTGGGCTACTATCGCCTGAAATAGATGTGAAAGAACTACTTCTTTATAGCTTGTACTTTCTCTTAGGGAATGAGCAAAATTCTGTTTACTGGCATTTTATATTTTGGACGGTATCAATCTTTCCACATCAAATCTGTTTATTACTGCATCTATGCCATTAAAGGAATAGTTCACCCAAACATTCTCTACAGTGTGTCAAAATTTATACACCCTCACATCTAGCCTACTTTTACATACATGTTTAAAAATGGTGCATCAAAACCATGTTGTCATTAATGATGCCTTTTTTTTATCTTAACATGAACGCAGACTAGATTATCAGTGAATATAGTGAGTTTAATATATTAATTTCATGGTACTGTTATGAAAAGAAGTGTTTGAACTGTTTGAAAATGTGCACTTTTGTGTTCCACGGCATTGCTTTAATGTTGTCCTCACACACAAAGCAAAAGCTTTATCTACACAATATATATATGTATATATATATTACCATCAGACTGCTCTTAAACATAATACAAAATCTCAGAAAATCACACACTAAGACAGAATGTTCATGAACGTCAATGAGGGGTTCATGACGAGTGTGTCTGGATGACTCTCTGAACCATTAGCCTGAGAAAAAAAAAAAAAATCAAAGTATTAAACTGTGTTTGGTCTGTCACCTTCAATTAAACTCAGTTTAATTGGTGTGAAATGGCCAGGAATTCGAGCCGCGTAAGACACCGTGGCGAATGGGCTTGCTACATCATGCTCGCCCAGCGAGTCAATGCTAGCTGAAGGACAGCAAATCACAGCATATCTGACAACACTGAGCCTCATCTACAAACATACAGCCAACGTTTGGAGTGGTCATCAGTACATCTCCTATCCATTAGAATAGTACTCTACAGTAATCTGCACACAGCCAAGAGCCAATATGTAAAACATTTCACAGCACATTATACCTTGGCTTCATTCTACAAGTACAGAAATGACTAATGCGACAAAGAGTAAGGCGATATGACAACATTTTTATCTAGATTTAGATACACTCTGATACAAAACAGGTTTTAATCATAATGTTAAATTGTGATGTGTTACCTGTTTGTGCAAAAAAACAACACTACAAATGTGATAATAGATCTCTCTTTAAAAATAAAAGCAAACATATTTGTTTCTTCACTTTTCGGTCTGTTGTGCCGGTGATGTCCATGTCTTGGGTTTAGAAATGTGTCTCCTTCTCTGTGATGGTGGAGATCTTGCCATCCGCCCTCATTTTGGCATCAGCATCATTGATAGCGCAGGGACTCTTGGAGCTGAGGCGTCCCCTCATTCTCAGGTCAGAGCTGGGTGTGGTCAGCTTTTTGATTCTCTGCAATTACATTCATATGATAATAAGAAGTGTGCGTGCATTTGAGGAACATTATTACAGTTGGACAAAGCACACAGAGCTATAGTCCTGTTCTTACAGTAACTAACATTTGTGAGATGTTACAATAATATTTCACTATATAAGCAAGGGTTCAAGGTTCACATGGTCCCATTAGCCCCTACTGGTAATGTTCTGATGCTTTTTTGGGAAAAAAAGTGCATTTCAATGTCTTTGACATTAAAGCATCAAAGGGTTTTTATTGAGGGTGCTTGTGCTGCCTTCAGGCATTTTGTTTTGTCATATAATTTTCCTGCTACTCCAGACTGAATAATCACATGACATTTACAGCTCAGGTGATTGGCTCAAAACAATCTGTGGTCCCTTAAGCAAAGACGCTGGATTCATGCACCGGATGAGCAGCTGCCATTGAAATGAACTGGAATGCTTCTCCAGGTATCATAGAGCTACCAGAGGATTATTGCACTTCTGTACTTTTTTACACTGGAAAAAAAAAAGGAGCAAATGGGAGACAGTTTCCAGAGAATACATATTAAATTGTTTATTTTTTGAGAAATCACTTTTTCCTCCTTGTTTTAAGAATAAATGTGACAAACACTTTCCAATGGAATAAGAAAAATAAACTTAAGATATATTCTCTGCAAACAAGTCTTATCTTCTTGCTTGTTTTAAAGATGTTTAGATTGTTGGCGGAAATCAATGTAAAATTCGTGATTAAGACAAAGATTTTTGCAGTGTAGTACACTAATCTCATCACATGCTTTCTGAAGCAGACACAATCAATAAGACATGGCACAATGGGGTCACGTCAGGGCAGTGCCCGCATCAATTCTGCACTACACCACAATTCTGCACTACATCTCCACACTCCCGCTGTGCCACAACAACTTTCACCTTCGCCATGTCATGGCACCTCAAGAAATATGATTTTTTTTTTATTCCAAGTACATTCTGAAAAGTGAGTACTTTCTAGCTCCTATCTAAAATCATTGACAGCAGTATGAGAGGTTCAGTCGGGTGAATCAAGGACAGTGAAGGAGGAAGGGAATGATGACTCATGCCTTCAATGATTCGTTTATTGAGTACAAAGAGCAATGCAGAAATCTGAATATATGCTAAAAGAATGAATGAATCAAAGAATGCGGACTCATAACTAGGGCTGCACGATTAATAGAATGCGATTGTCATGCGCATTTTGATAGTAATGCCGGTTCTGTAATCAGCAGGAATTTACTACACATAGGCGTAGTTCACTGACAAGTTACGCAAAAAAATCGCAGACGATTTTATTGCGCGATTCTGAAATCGTTCGCGATAATGACAGCTGTTTGCATAGCTTCTCATAGCTTCTCATAACTACGGCTCTGTGTAGTAAATGCTGCTCCATCTGAAAGCATGTGAAAATACCACATTTAATAACATATTTTTACTCCAAACTCACTACATAATGTCAGTCGAGTGTTTGAAATAAATCATTCAGTGAGATGATGTGGCTTCTTACACAGAATAAGGCACGCAACATATTTCATAGTATTTAAGCAGTGATAAAGGC